CCCTCCTACATACATGCTGTTCTCTCAGCATGGATAACCCTTTGTAATGCTCCCCCTGTCCCCAGACGAGATATGGCTGCTTTCAGAAATTCACCATCCCCAAAGCTGTGCTGGCTGCAGCTGTGACAGGCTCCCATGCACGTGCAGGACTTCTCCCTGCAGTGGCCCTTCCAGGCCACTAGAGGCAGGCTACATGACGCGGGAGCTGTATTTGGTTCAATTGTGTATTGCTGGCAGGTGGCTCAGGGCCTGGAGTGTACCAGGTATCCACAAATAACCTGAATGAACAACTCTGCACAGCTAAGAAGGGAAAGGCTAAAAATGCTACACTGGAACAACCTTAAAAAAAAATCTCCACTCACTGGTGTTAGAGTGTCCCAGCAGAGCTACTGAAATGCCAGTGAAAGCCAAAGGATGAGTGAGAAACAGGGAGGCCCATGCTGCGGTCGGGTGTAGCTGGACCCAGCACACATCATTATGGATGGGTCCTTTATGCACCATGGGGTAGAACAGGATGTGAGCCACAGCGCCCAGCCAGAGGCCCAGAGGATGTGGATGCCTGGCACAGAGCGAGCATGAAGCAGGATCACCAGCCAACCTTGATATTCCTATTGGCGTTTAACTCCAACTTCTGCAAGAGTGATCATTAGTTTCTCTATTTTAGTATAAAGGCTATGCAGCTCTTTCTGGAAGCCTGTTGATGTGATTTGTATTTTCTTTGTCCACATATCTGTGTGAGTGTTCAGAAAATATATCCAAATCTAAAGCCCTAAGAAGGTTCTGCACTAGGAAAATAATACTTTCTTTTACAAAACTTCCCTCGCTCCCTTGCCTGTCAAGGGAGAATCATTTCTGACATTCTATTCTGGACACTGGACATTCTGGGTACTGGTGTCTCTTCTCTTATGCTTGGGTCTGGGCCAAGTGGCCTGATAAAGTTCTAAAGCTACATTTAACCTTAGTGGAAGTTCAAAGTCTTGGTCTAAAAATAGCCCTTGGGAAGGGAAGAAGAGTGGAGTTGAAGGGAACCACTATCAGAATGGGGCCTTCAACTGAGGGTGAAATCTTCCTGAATTAGACAGCAATTTCTAAGAGCCATTTCCCACATCATCTTGAGGGATTTTGGCTGCCAGGCTGGAGGGAATCAAGATCTTGGCATCAGATTTCACAAGGGAGCTGGAATGGCTTCTTTTTTTACTTAAGAAAATACTTTAAAGCACAATGAATGAGGGTGGCTTGAGGGGGGGTTCCCCTGTAGACAGCACCTTAAGATCTCTTCTACATATAAGAAGCAATGAGAGGAATTCTGGGGAGTTCCTGGGCTCTCCAGACCTTGGAAGGAGTCATTGTAATGACTAAGTCATTCTCTGACTATCCAAAATCATTTAAAGTCTTGAGCTTCACCTCTAATTTTGGTGCTTAAACTAGTCTGGAAAATGCAGATCCTTACTCCACCAATTGAAAAGAGACATCCAAACCTAGCCCCCCAAAAGGATTTCACTGGAGGTCAATAATCTAGGTGTCCTTCCTCTACGGCTGGAGACCAAGTTCTTCAAGATCTCTCCGAAAGGCTGAGGTCTTTAACTCATCATGAAAAGGTGTAGCCTGTGATGACACTAGAAGCTGTGGGGATCCAGGAACAAAATCACGGCACTCAAAATCCTGTTCTGTTTGCATCTGGTATCACACTGCAGATGCTGAAAGGGATTCCAAGAGGGAGGAGACACAGGTGTCTCCCCAAAGCCTTTTCCCTCTAGCACTGAACTCCTTCCTGGCCTCAGGCAGTGGTCTCTACTTGTTTGTGTGCAGTTCATCAGATGTCCAAAAACCAAGCAATACACTTCCCATGAGGAAGCAGCTGGAGAGGAGCCCAAGAAAGAATCCGGAGGACAGATGCCCCAAAAAGTTGTGTTCACAGTGTTGCAAGGGGCCTGAGGATAATAACTATTTTGGAAAAATACTTGAGTGACACCTTTCCTTCTTCCCACTTGGGCATTTTTGTTGGATAGAGGCATTCACTACTGAAGATACACAGCTGGAGGACTCACATCACAGTTATTGTGAAGATTACACAAAACAATTATAAACTGCTCAGCAGAGTATACGGCACAGAGTGAGTGTAAATAATAAATATCAGTTCCTTTTTCTTCTTCCTCCAAGATTAGAATAGATCCAAGAAAAGGTAGAAATTTCCTGAAAGTTTACTAGTCATCCCAAGGTAAACAGATTCATCCACAAAGTCTCCCTTTGTGCCAGAGTCCTGTGATTTCTTTTTCTTTTTCTACCCCCAGAGACATAGGCAAAAAGGTGATGGCTAAAGTCAAGAACATTTTCCCCTTTGGAAAAAAAGGCATCCATTTATTAGCAAAAGGCAATTCACAGACCTCATTCATCAAATTCCAAAGGGTTTATTCAGGGGTACTGGCAGCCTGGAAAGCCAGTGCTGCGTCACCGCGCCACAGATCCACACTGGGGCACGCTAACCATCCACGTCAGTGAGAAGCCAGAGTCCCTGCTTAGAGTTCCCTTTTCAATGTGCTTTTAAATACAATTCCCACCCACCAACTAGGCCTTGTTTTTTTTTTTTTAACTTAACAGAAAGAGCAAATTCTATGAGGTACAAAGAAATAAAGATCTGAAAATGCCTTTTAGGGGAAAAACATAGGAGGCAGATTTTGTAAGAGTGCAATCTAATAACTTCCTCCTTTCTGTTTCTTTTTCAAAGGGACATTCAAGGGAGAGAAACTTAGATGCCATTGGTTTGTCACCTGTGTGTGTGTGTGTGTGTGTGTGTGTGTGTGTGTGTATCCAGAGTTCTTGAGTTCAAGATTCTTAGTATTTCCTGGTTGAAGAATTTATCTTCCTACAAAACTAACATATTTAACCAAGTCTCTTCAGACTAGTAGAGACAGGATAGTCTTTAATTGTTGTCCAATTTCTAAGCAGGGTTTATAATCAATATTCCAAACTTGAGTCATAAGCTACTGAGGTAAAACTCTTAAGAGGCAGGCTCATTGTTTTTAACAGGCTATGGGAGAGTCTTTCATAGGGAAAAAAAAGTGGCTAAGAGGTTTGGGGTGGGGACAAAGTTATAGCTCAACTCTGAGTGACATCAACTGTGGCAGGATATGAGTTCCATCTGCGGGCCTGTCAGCTTGCTTCCTAGGCCTGGGTATGCCTGGGATCCAAGGTTCCTCACCTTCTATTAGAGTGATAGAAGGGGTATGAGACCAGAGGGCTGAAGAAAGGCAACTACTCAGCGAGGTCATTTCTTATTTGAGTTGCTGAAGCATGCATCACTCAGATCAGATGGGGAGAAACCTGCTGCCCAGCGGGCTGCTGTGTAGCTGTGGCTGGTTCTGAGGACTGACCTAGTTTTCTGTCTCTGGACTTTGTACCTTCTTTTTGTCCCTAAATAGACCAGGGCATTACTCTAGGCTCCTGCATCATAGTGGTAACACACACACAACCTCTTCCAAGGCATTACTCTAGGCTCCTGCATCATAGTGGTAACACACACACACACACACACACACACACACACACACACACACACACACACACACACACACACACACACAAAACCTCTTCCAAGGCTGTCTGCCAGTAACAAACACGCATTCAATTATGAGAGCAGTACTTCATGATCCTGAATCTCTGCCAATCAAAAGAAAGCTGCGCACATACGACTGAACTTTTACAACTCTGCAACTTGGAGGACATGGAATCCAGCTGGAAGTCTTGCTTGTAGCCCCACCCCACACTCTGGCCACAAGGCAACTAGATTTCCAACTGCCCCCGGGCATCCAGCCAGTCCAGCAGCCCTCTTTGCTAAACTTACTCGGTCTACTTCTCATTATGTTTAATTCTTCTATTCACCCAGACACTTCCCTCCCTCTCTCTTCCCACCTCCCCCATCCTAAAGCCCAACAAATGGACCAGTTGCATTGCATTATTCTTTTCACTCTTTCTACTTACTGTTCAGATCCACCGGGAGAAATAACAAAGCTTTTTTCCCCCTCTATAGAGTCTTTCAGGAGGTATAGAAAAATAAAGGGTCAACACAAATTACTTGACAATTTTATGATTAAAACCAACAAATGGAAAACAGATAGTTTTGAATACTGTTAACATAATCCAAGTATTGCATGATGCCAACTCACTCAACCACTCCATTCCTCAGATCGATTTCAGATCTATTTCTAGAGGTACCCAACATGTATGAAATTACTTGCACAGCAAAGACGTATCCAGTGTTCAACATGGGAGACAGAACTCCACGTAAAAAGGTGCCGGTTCTTGGAAACAAATTTATGATTTTATTAGACACTCAAAACTCAGGTTCCCAAGAACCACTTGGCTCTAAGTACATGTGCAACATGTCATGGCATTAAACATGACAGAGGAAAACGATGTGGATATTTTGTCTTTGGGTAGAAGATGGCGGTTTTCTGAAAAGATACTGAGACACCAAGCAGAGAAATCAAATGGAAGATGTTTAACATTGGCTTCATTCTTAACTTGATAAGAACATGAGATCCTTTAAAAATGTCATCCATGGAACAGTGAACGAAGTCCCCAGTGGACAAGTTTGAGGTGGGGTTTTGCAGTTGGTTTACAGTTAGGGAAAACTATTTTTATACCTTGGCTAAAATCCATACAAGGGAAGGGAACGTAAAACCCTAGACAACTTGACTCTCCCCATTTTTTTTTCTGCTCAAAGCAGGATAAAAAGCCTTAGATTTTGGCTGTGTCTCTATTTATGTAACAACCACAGCTGTTCCCCAAAATAGCTGCTGCTGGCTTTAAGAATGAAGGGATTTTTGTTGCTAACATTTGAGTCCATTTTCTATGACACTTGACTGAGTTCTCTTTCCTCTACTTTTGCGGCTCTAGGTCTGAAAACAAATAAGGAATCTCACCATTAGCATCAATGGCGTGTATGGATTTGGAAGCCAAGGCTCTTCTCAGTCAAGAACAAATTTAGTCTCTTATTTTACTTTGTGGCAGGTGGTCCTTTGACCACCCAGAACATCTTAGCTACCCACCTTCACAGCTGTCTACCTTCAGAATGAAGGGGGACAGTGTGGCTGAGACCCAGGCCCTTGAAGTTCACAGTGCTCCTGAGAGGCACACACAATGCTCCTTCTGTGTTTTTGTGGGCCAAACCCACCCCGGGACCACTGACTTGGCATTGAACAGGGCACCATCTCTGGGAAAGTAATAAAGAGAACCCTCATCAAAGCTATCAAACACATTAAAAAAATACAAAAGTTATTTTCTCCTTTTGATTGCTATTTACTTGTGACAATATTGGTTAAAAATATTATTTCTGTCTTTAAGAAGAGGTTATTCTCTTCAATATAGTATGGAAAAATAAACTCTACTGAACACACAGTCCACATTCCCCACTGCCCCCAGGGACTTTGGGCTTTCACATCTCCATACATCACCAGTGTAAATGTACTGTATTTCCAAGCAGGCAAACCCTTTCCACTGTAATACCCAGGGCTGGAAGTTAAGAAGGAAGTGAGTAGCAATGCTCATGTAGCATTGCAAATGGACAACACAGAATGCTTTAACTCCCATCAGTAACAAACTGAAAAGTAACAAGGTGGGTTTTGTTTTGTGCCCTCCCAAAGAGCCACGGGGTGTCCCCTCCTCTCGAAGGCCCTTCTACACCTGGCTTGATGCTGGATGAAAGAGTGGCGAGCCATGTAGTCCACTGATTAGTGCCATTGAGAAGGCTGGGGTGGGGGGGGAGGTGGAGGGGGGAGGCTCAGCTTCCACACTCAGGATCAGCTTAAAACACTGAGCTGGATGAAGGGGAGAAGACAAGGATACATAAAAACAGTAAAATGTTTATTTCTTAGAAAAAGAGGGAGGGGGAAGAAGAGGATTCAAAATGATTACGATCATACTTCCATCTATCTGAGCAAAGCCAATGCTGTGAGCTTAAACCTTGATTCAGATACCTACTAACTGGACCGACCTGCTGCTCAGGCCTATGTCAATTCCGGAGTCAGGTGACAACATGCTTTGTATTGTTGACACATCTCTACTTCTTCAGAGCAGAGAAACAAGGCTGGCCATGGCTCCTTTCCCATCTCCACAACCTAACATTGCCATGGGAAGCAAAGCTCAGGCCACCACTTGACTGATCAGAAAAGACAGGGAGGAAAGAGAGGGACCGAGATGCTTGACTGAGAAGCAGAACCAGTTCAGAATAGAAGTTGGGTATCTTGAGTTCACCACTAACTCATCTGATAGAAAATAGGTTGGAGAGCATCTGTATGTGGAAGGTGAAATTGCAGAGTTTTGCTGCATACCTGGACACAAGAGAAGTGAAGAGTTGCAACAAGTTTTAACTAGCAGCAACAAAGAAAGTTTCATGACAGGTGTCTTTTTTTTGTTTTTGTTTTTTTTTTTGTTTTTAGCAATATTCCTTTGCAAGTTCATTAAGAAACACTGTAATTTAATGGGGCATACAATATGGGTCGATCTTCTTTTGCTATAATGCTGTTCGTTGAAGAGAACCGACCTTTGCAAAGATTTCAACTGGGGTGTAACCTATTTACACAGTAGTAGCTCCTGGTCTCAGTGGGAGAGTTGGTGCTATGTGATATCTTCTTCTTCCGAACAGTAATCCCGACCCTTGAAGAAAAAGAGAAAGGGAAGAATATGTGAATAAGAACTTCCAATGAGAGCTTGAAATACTTACAGGTGATTGATTTTCTTTCAGTCTATGTCTCTTTGTAAGCGAATCCAGGCTTTATCAGAAACTACTGGGCACAAAGTTCATGTGTCATAAATAACACTGGCAGAACACATATCAGAGATAACACTGGCAGTTTTTTAAGCTCTGTGTGTGTGTGTGTGTGTGTGTGTGTGTGTGTGTGTGTAGCTCACAGTAGAAAACATCTATTAAGCTCTTGCTTTATGATGGGAAAAACTTCTATCAACGTCGGCATATAGAAGACTCAACCTGTGCCAAGAAATGACCAAGTGGACAGTACATTCTGGAGATCAATGTCTCGCCAGGCAGAGTGGGCAAATCACTCCCGGCTGCTATCCTTACAGCTCTGACCTTTTGTCTGACAGAGAGAGGGTGTGCAATCCAGGAAGGTCTCAGGTTTACTGAACTCTAAAAAAACACCGAAGGAGGATTTGGTGTTATACTGGGGACTGTGTCTGGTCACTGTGGATCACTGGGAAGATGTTTTGAAGCACTTCTTAGCAAAGCCATTGGAAGGTTTTAAAGATGGTGGGAAATGGTTGCTTTGCACACATTTTACCCTTTCTCCACTGGGTTCTAAACCCATGAAGACACAGTTGGGATTAGGTTTTAGGCTCCTTAGTCGTTATCGCTTGTCTTCCTCAAAACACTTAACTTTCTTGGTGTGGAAATCCCAGAGAAAGGGACAAAGGTACCTTCCCATGGCATTACAATGTCAAAGATCAGGACCTTATAAAAGCCAAGTATATTATTATGCCTGCATCCTGCAGGTGTCCCTCTTTTCCCTGCCCCCTCCCTCCTCTTTTCCTTCATTCCTTCCTTCCAGTCTTTGATTAAAAAATCTTTAGTTGTACAAGAAGTTTCCATTCAACAAAGCAGCTTATAAGTACAATGCATCTCGACCAATGTCACCCCTTCCATTGTATTCCCCTACCTTTGCCAAGCCCACCCATATCACTCAAATAATATGCTCAACTTTTTTTTCTTTCTAAATATAAACGTGTTCTCATTTCAGAGGAGACAATTTCCTCTATAAAAACAGACTTTCTAGCCAGGCTTGATGGTTCAATTTTATAATCGCAGGTACTCACTTGCTGCATTAATATCTCTCTCAGGCAGGGAAAGTGGGTAATGACCAATGTTCTGGAGAGGAGGAGTGTGCAGGTGATCATCACTCCTGGTGACACTGCTCAAGTGATGCCATCTCTGGCTTTGGCTAGACCACTCAGGAAGCACTGAGCCCTCCCACTGAGGAGAGCCGGAAAGGAAGGCTGAGGGTCCCTGACAACTGGAGTTCATTCTTCAGGGTGGGCAATGGGGCAAACACAAGTATATCAACAGAATACCGTAACAGCAAGTTACACTCTCTCCACTTATCCTCAATTCACAGAGTTCAGGAATAGACTTGCCCAATGGACACTGGATGTTGGGCTGGAGAGGAAAGGCTGGGGGGCGTGGAGTTTTTGAGGCATTTTTATTAGAAAAGTAAGCGAGGCATGGGCACAAAATCAGGCTTTTGGTGTTTCCCCGGATCACGGCGATATGTCTCACTGGGTTGTGATCAGATTAAAGGGGAAAAGCCATAGTCTGGCAGGTAGTCGGCAAGTATCAGCTGCTGAGATTACTAATATGACTGTTCTTGTAACTCTTGTGATCAGCAGTCCTGGGTTTGTTCAGGGGCCTGCCAGGGGGCTAGGGAGCTCCCTCCTTGTAGATTAAGGTGAGGATGGTGGCCAGAACTGTGACCTGACAGGTATCACAGAACATTCCACCTGTTTCAGCCCTGTGGCCTAGGCAGAATGAACTCACTCTTGTTCCTAGATGCATTTCTGTGCCTAAAACTCAGGTCCGCCCCATCCCCTTTCCTCCTCCTGTTCCTCCTGCTCCTCCTCTTCCTTTCATTTCTCCTCCTCCTCTTCTTTCTTTATGGGGTAGTGGGATTGGAAGCTGAGCAGAGCTTTCTAGGCAAGTGTTCATTACACCACTTGAGAAATACCCTACTCCTGCTTTTAATTTTTTTTCCAGATAGGACCTCTCACATTTACCTAGGTTGCACTTAGACCTTTTATCCTCCTGTGTCCACCTCCATAATAGCTGGGATTACAGGCATGTGCTCCACACCAGGCTCCAAGTATTTTTAAAATAATCTTTTCCCTCTTATTGGGAACTGAGGATTGAACTCAGGACTTCATGCTTCCTTCCCTTCTTATGTCTCAATGGGGCCTCAACTCTCAATTAAGCCTCAACTAGCCAACATGGCATTGAGAGGACATCTCTGCCATGAAGAACTTGAATGCAATGACAGACAGACAGACCGACATGAGAATCATTGTACTCACTAATAACACAGTGTCAGTGGAGCTGCAGGATTATGTAGCCAAAGAACTGTTTAGACCTTCCAAGTTTACTGTTACCCCAAGAAGGTTTCCCTACCCCACAAACCCCCTGCATAAGCATAGGACTCCATAGCTTTCTTTCATTTCCCAACCACTTGTTCCTCTAAAATACTATAATTGCTACAAGGAGGAGGGGAAAAGCATTTAGTTGCTTTGCAGACATCATTTCATTTATTATTCATGTGAACCCTGCAGGCGCTGGGGAGGGGGGTGTACGAGTGTAGCCTTGTTACCCCTGGGTAAACTCCAGAGCAGCCCAAGCCCACAGTTAGCCCTGGGCTTTTTCCTTCTGACTGTACCGATTTGATAACAAAATTGCAATTCAAGTCAGTCTTACTTTTGTTATCATCACCTGTCAGCAGCAGCTCTGAGAACCAAATATTTTGGCAACAAAGCCTCTGAAATCACAACACACTGAAGCTAAGTGGGGGTGCAGTGCAGCCCTTAGTGACCCCCCCCCACAAGGGACAGGCGTGGGAGGGGCTCTGTACCAACATCATCTGGGCCCATTTCAACCCTCATCCTGATGGGTAGGCTGGGGAGTTCGCTTCAGTAAGATGACTTCATGTCTCATTTAAATTGTTAAAGAATTGCTAAAAAGAGAATCTTAAAACCTTCAGCTGTCAGAAGGCAGGAAGGGAGGAAGGGAGCAAGCTTGGGAGATACACAGCAACTCTCTCAGCCGAAGGCTGCCCTTCCCTTCCCCCCATTTCAAGGGCACCCCAAATGGAAGCCTTTGTGAAGACATTTTATTTGTCACAATCCCACCCTTGTACATATTATAAGACATATTATAAGATCCCAGAAGGCCTGGTAAGCAGCAAGAATGGAAACTCCCAGGGTCACCAACAAGGCAGGCTTGTTTGAAAGAACCACATGGGCCTGTGTTCCAGTCTCAAAACACCCCCAGGAGCTCTTGCCTACCATGAAGTTTTGATTATTCTCCTCTCTGCCCATGAACATGCATGCCTTCTTCAGTGATCTGTGTTACTATTTTCCTGGAAATTCTAACAATTATGTCAATTCAGAACATATGTTTTTTTTACCGTCCAAGGGTAAAGATTCGTTGTTGTGATTGTTGTTTCCATGTTAAAGGATTAGAGATTTAATTTTTTTTTTAATGTCAGGCATGGGGCTTGAACTCAGGGACAGGGCACTGTCTCTAAGGTTTTTTACTTGAGGCTGGCACTTAACCACTGAGTCACAGCTCCACTGTTGGCTTTTTGGTGGTTAATTGAAGTTACGAATTTCTCAGACTTTAATTCTCTGGGATAGCTTGGAATCTCGTTCCTCAGATCTCAGGAGGCTGAGATTACAGGTATGAGCTACTAGGGCCCAGATCGGATATTTTTTCTTTTCTGCCCACCTCACAACTTGGTTTCCAATCTGGTCCTCCCCACATCATCAACTAGAAGAGCCTGAGATCTAGGCTTCTGTGGGAATCAGGACATTCCTGAACCAGGATAAACACATCCTAGAGTAAAGCATCTGCAAACTCCTAACCAGACCCAGAACAAACGCAAGGAGGTGGCAACTGAGGAAGGAAGGAAGGACTGTGGACTGGAAGCCACGGCCTTCTGCCCCTTCCCTGGCTGGAAATGTCAGAACCTCTCGTGACCGCCTGCTTTCTAGCCTCACTGGCATGCATTTACAGTCCAGTAACCATTTTGTAACAAGAGTTTTTAAATGTGTTAGAAATACTGAAGAAAAGCAAAAATAATTAGCTGCCCTATTAAAGTCTCCTCCCCCGCCTTACTTCATTAGAAAAATCAATTGAGGCATTAACGGCTGCCTCCATCTCTAATGAGCTTTATTCTAATTAGACTCATGCATTATTATTATTTCCTCTGGAGAAAGTCTGGTTGGGGATGAACAGTGGGGTGTGGCAGCCTGGACTGTTTCTCAGGCCATACGCAGGACTGATCATTGTGTTAATAACAGCAGTGACAACGGTCACAGTCCATTGAGCTCAACCCCCCAAGAACTGTTTCTTATACCAGAGTCTCTGCTCCACCCAAAGAATAAGGAGGGTACTTTAGAAGCATTGAGGCACAGATTGCTCAAAGTTTAGCTGATTTTGCACTCAGATGACATGGACGACCCGCTTTCTCACAAGAGGAAGGAGCAGGAAGAAGGTTGTATTGAAATGGCACTCTAGAGCAAGGATGGGCAGATTTCCTCTGCGAAAGGCCAGAGGGTAAGTATATTAGGCTTTGAGATCCAGATCGTCTCCACTGTAACTCAACTCTGTACTTGTAAACATGGAAGCAGCATAGATAAAAGTGAACAAATGAAATTAAACTACTTGTGGAAGCTGAGATTTGAATTTCATATAAATATGTGTGTGTGTGTGTGTGTGTGTGTGTGTATGCTGGTGCTGGAGCTTGAACTCAGGGCCTGTGTACTATCCTTGAGCCATTTTGCTGATACTCTACCACTTGAGCCACACCTCCACTTCTGTTTTTGTTTGTTTTTCTTTGCTCTGGTTCATTGGAAATAAGAGTGATAAACTTTCTTGCTCA